CAATTATACTAGGAATTTAGAGCAACAAGAGAATTTTAATGGTACTGCAGGGATAGGAGACAAGGCAGGGAGTTGAAACTGACATTCTTGCCTTTGCCTTGGATTCTTGCAAGGCTATGTATTCAATGAAATGGAAATACTGGGGAAAAATGATAAAAATATATCCAGCAAGAGAGGTAGATATTAGGATATCTTGTCTGCCTTGACTTTGCTTATGAGATGGTGGGGGAAAGGACAGAAATTTCCTCTGAGAATAACCATACTCCTACCCACATAAGAGTTGGAATTCAAATATAACACCTATGTATGTGGTCTCAGAAACCTGAAGCCAAGAAATAAAATGGTCTCTGATTACTAGTTTCCCAGGCTGCTTGGCAGATGCATATACAAAATTTCAATGGAGAAATTACTTTAAACCTAGTGACCTCACAATTTCCATGAGTATAGATCAGACATTTATGAGCATACAATGAAAAATTAGAGAACATATGAGAAAACAAATCAGAAACAAATAACAGAATTAGGCCCTTCAGATTTTATTACTGATATACAGAATAAAAAACCATTATTTTTGAAATATTTAGGGAAATGAGAATGAATTAATAACATGAGTGAAAAAAGAGACTGTTAAAAATAATCATGTATAATTAAAAACAGCAAAATGGAATTTCTAGATATGAAAAATAGAGTTGATGAAATAAAAATGCATAGTTTGAATAGTCAAATGGATTACACAGAATACAAGAGTTTGGTGAACTGGAAGATAAAACAGCAGAAACTAGTGAAATGGGGCACAGAAACAAAAAGATAGAAAAATATGCAAGATTAATTTCATGTTATATGAATTTCACCTCAATAAAATAGATATGCAAGAGACATGGAAGATGGTAATGATGGTAAGATCTAACACTTGTATTCAGGTTTCTAGAGGAAGTAGTAATGAGAATGGTGAAGCAGCAATATCTGAAGGGGTAATGGCTTGAGTGTTTTCCAGAATCAATAAAATCACATGTCCTCAAGTTACTAGGTTTTATGCAAATCCCAAAGATAAAAAAAAACTGTAGATCACCAAAGACAATGAGAAGATCCAAAAATAGCCAGAGGGAGACATACTTACTAACAAAACAGTGATTAGTAATTTGACAATTAATTTACAAGTTGTTAGCTAATTGAATTACTGATTTAAATTTACTACCTATTACAGCTAATTTTGTAGAATAACAGAAGCCAGAAAAAAGTGGAGTACTCTCTTGAAAGTGCTGAGAGAAAATAACTGACAACCTAAAGTTATTCAGACAGGGATGAAATAAAGGTGCTTAAGATTAGCAAAAGACTCACAGAGCTAAATCAGAAGGGTTGAGGAAACTGAGAATTCCAGACTAAGTATAAAGAACTAAACTGTAACCAGTACACCTTTTCCTTCTCAGGAATGCAAGCAGACTTTCCTTATTTAGAATGCAGTATGGACTCTAAGGGACTGTGTATTTGTAAATTAACAGTTTTCTTTTGAACACTATCAGGCAGAGCCCTGATGTTCATTACTAAGACAGCATGACTTGTGAAAGGACAGGCCTGGGTTGGGATATCTTCTCTGACACTCCTAAGTTGTTGTGTGCTTAGGCATCATTAGTAATGAGTGTTTTGCTTCATTAGTAAAGTGAGGTGAGGTTTAATGCTAAAACATCCTAGTTTCAAGAGGGTTAAACAGTGTTTACTAATGCCCTACCACATAAGCGGGAGCTCTGGTAGCATAGTGGCTAAGACACTTGCCTGCTAACCAGGTGGCTGGCGGTTCAAACCCACCAGCCACTCCTCGGAAGGAAGGTTGGGCAATCCTACTTCCGTAGTTATACTGCCTCGGAAACCCAAGGAGGGGTCGCTGTGAGTCGGGGCCGACTCGACGGCATATAACAACAACAACCACATAAGCACCAGAGATGGCAGAGGTAGTAGAAGTGATTGTTGCTGTTGTGGCCACTTTTCCCCCTCCACTCCTAAAATACTAAGGCTAAGTAAACTTTTCATTCCTTTTTGTATCCTTAAAATTTTCAGTTGTAAACCAGAATGTACTGATGTGTTTTTGCCATAAAAGATGGTTTTGTTTCTGCAAAAAATAGTTTTATTATTTTATTTATTTTTTTACAGGGTATGTGAGTGGGGTTATGAGTCAATCTGTGTTTGACTATAAAATCTTTGGATCATGAGTATTTTGATAAAGTGAGACCAGCAACTTACAGTAGTAATGAGACGATTTGTAAGGCATTAGGAAGCAAAGACAAGAATTTTACAGATCAGAAAACTTTGATTGTAGTAAATGGATTGGGACTTTTTAGCAGTTGAGACTTGAGATATGCACAAAGATTGCAAGTCAGGCGGAACAAGTAGTGGACTGGAGTCAAACATTAGGTAAAGTCTAGAAAGATAAAGTCTGAAATCCAGATTTCCATGACCAGGAGACCATGTAAATAGACAAAGAAGCCAAAGAGATAGATTTGACGTGTCAGAGATAAAGAGTGTCCATGATAATTAAGGTGACTTTTGCTTAAACAGCACCTCTTTTGCTTCTCATCTTTAGGTAGGGATTGACCATCCCATCAGCTGGCCTGATAGACACCGTTAGATAGCGTAACCATGTAATTACTCGAAATTGCCAGGCACTTTTGAGAGTAAAAGGGACTCTTACTAATTATGCTGCAACAACAAGGGGAAAACTAACTGTCCCTGGCAAACCAAGGCATGTGTTCAAACTACAATGTAACTTCTAGATTAAGTGGAAACAAAGGATGAAAAAAGAACATTCTTGACATGGGGGCAGTGAACATACTAAAAAGGAATTTTACACATGGGCTCCTTTTATTTATTTTTATTTTGGTTTATTTTTTTAGTATTGTGATTTGGGTGAAGATTTACAGAGCAAATTCACTTTCCATACAGCAGTTCACATACACTTTGTCTTATGGCATTGACCACAATTTACCACAATGTAACAGCTCCCCTCCCACTTCCTCCCGATAATTACCTCTTCCCTGTGTCCCTTCCTCCATGCCCTCCTGCCCCCTGAGCTGTCTCCCTGTGCATAAGCACACATGGGCTCCTTTTAGTATAAAAGTCCTGAAGCTGTCTTTTGATGAGTTGACTTGGTAGAGGCCAATGCAGGGCAATCTAGAACTACTCTTTTGAGGATTTCCCCACAATTGGGAAGTTCTAGGAAGTTAGTTTTCAATATATTTGGTGGTCTTTCACATAGGGGTAAGGAGCCCTGGTAGTGCAGTGGTTAAGCACTCAGCTGCTAACTGAAAGGT